TCTCTCTCTCTCTCTCTCTCTCTCTCTCTCTCTCTCTCTCTCTCTCTTTATGTGCATCTGGGTACATCGTCTGTATCAGCAGTGATCTTCGTTTGGTTACAACATTTCTAGTTGTCTTCGTCTTCGCATCGACGGCTGTTGTCGAACCATTGCAAACATCATTTTGCTATTTGCAATTGTACCGATGCGAAACATGGTGGCCAATACATGACAATTGAGGCGAAGCGCTCACATAAAACATGATGCGGGTGACGGGTAATTTTTGGTTTTGCATGAAGCACATGAATTTATGTGCACGTTGCTACTATTCACTTCGTAATGAAGCACTTCTTTGGAGCATCATGAATCGATGCAGATACAGAGGAAGAGACAGGGAGAAATTGTGTTCACAATTCTGAATTGTGATACATTGCACAGACGATAACACAACAGCCAGACCATAAACTTATTCGAGAGTGTACATACAATAGCATTCATAATGACCAATTGTATTTTGTGTGTTACGGGTCAATATTGTCGACGTCGAGACATCAGACTTCTATAATTCATTTCGGAATGTTTGCCAGTTTTCCTGCTTTCTCCTAACTCCACCGAATGCTTTTACCCATTCGGTGCTGTAATTTTGCTACGACCTGCATCGAATATATCTACCACTTGTCAATTTGAAAAGTTTTTACATGCTTTTGTCATCCCAGTTTCATTTCAGGATCGAATGTCAATATATCTTGGCCATCGAAGCGCATTTGGGAAGAAAGAGGCGGTGGAATTGACTACTGAAGACAATGCCAAAAGTGATTGGGTGACAAATTAAGAAAACCAATATCGACAATTATCGGAATTGATATGCAATAAAATTTAAATTTTGTGAATCAGACATTATCCAACTGACATCTCAATTTGGCTTTATTGTATTATTTGACAACAATGGGGTCTTACACAAAGTAAAATCCTGGTGTCACTTTAATCAAAACGAAAACACTACCACCAGAGCACAATTAAACGAAACCACATACACCCATGATATTAGATTAACAATGGGATTTGCGATGTAAACCATACGATATCGATTATATGTATGTTGACAAATTGCTTTCCCTTCGCACACTTCCAAATCATCCTCTCACTCACGCAGGCTCCACGTCATCCTCCATACACCGTATGCCGAATCATCTAATGAAATTCTTTTCCTAATTGTTAACATACAACAAAGACGATTCATTAGATTTTATAACAAATTCCTATGCCTTGATGCATATTTTATAAAGCAAAATGCCATGCCATGCCATGCCATATATGCCCATTTTGCATTCACTTTGTTCATTATTAATGTTGACGATTCCAAAATCTCGACCGGTGACACAAAGCAAATGAATAATCGAAATTACTGTGGAATCATCGATTTAATGTTGTCATTCCAATTGAAGACAATTGTCTAGGATGGAATATAGTTCGATGATTTGTATTGAAATTTTTCGAATCGAAACAATAATATTGATTCGTTTATGAATGACAGATATTTCAGACCATTGCAAGAATTGATAGCTGGAGCGGAAAACATGTTGATTGGCAATTGCATTTCATTCAGTTTATACTGATCCATGTTGAAGATTCATCAGTAGAGTTTAAGATAGATGCATGTTGACGTTACCAAATAGTTGATCCTATCTAGGGTCAATAATAACCGTGGGCTATGATAAGGAATGCCGATTGGAATCAAATTTAGGAAGGAAAGAAGTGACCAAGTAAGAGAATGTTCGTATTCACCGTTTTCCTTGTTGAGGAAATACCATTGTATTGCATTGCATTTTTCGAAGTTTCACGTGGCCTTGAAATCAGGCCATAACGAATGATACCAAAATAGTGTTTCTTTCCTTTCCAAGAAGAAATTAAGAAGTTTCGGATTTTGTCATTTTATGGCTAAAAATGTGAATGACAAGTGATCAAAATTCGATTAGTTTTAGATTAGCTGCACACGGGATAGTTTGCCTGTTCCTCGATGAGTTTCCTAATTCGTTTATAATATTCAGGCTATGACATTGGTTTATTGTATTGATTTTGTAATATGTTGATTTTAGACCAGCACAAACAGATGCAATATCCCTACCTACATATGCTCTATTCACCTATTCCTTTTCCCAGCGATTCAACACATTTCGTTTGTCGTTTACACGTGGCTTAAATTTGTCTTGAAATGTTATTGTCCAAAATCGATAGAATTCAAATCAAAGCCATAGCCTGAATCGTATAAACAAATTGGGAAACTCATCAAGGATAAGGTAGTTAATGTAAAACGAATCGAATTTTGATCACTTGTCATTCAGATTTACTGTCGTAAAATGTCAAAATTGCATCCACGGAATCGTTATAAAATCGGTCTATGAATAATTTTCAGTATAATTTGTGGACGTTTCTATACAGTTTGACATATTTTGATGACATTAAAATCAAATTATTGCATTTGTTTGAGTCTTTGGAAAGCAATCCGAATCATTTTTACTGCAGTCGTCATTCAACCTCGTTCCCGGAACCACGCAAGTAATTCAAACCTAAACGCGATGAAAATCTTTCAATCTCTTCGAAATCCTCTCGGTGACGTGGGCATTTATCCAACTCAAACCACTGAAGAGAGTTCATTCAATTCGAAAAATATTATTATTGTCCTTTTACTCGGTCAATTCAGTATTTTATCAATGGTATACATTCTGTTTGAAGCCAAAAATCTAAGAGAATTCACCGAAGCCTTCTATATATTTTCAACAACTTTAATTGTGTCATTTATTTTATTCGAATTGATTCGGAAGATTTTCACTTTGATTGCACATTTTGAAGGTGCAATTGGAACACGTAAGTTATTGATGATCCTATTCAATAGCAGTAATAAAATGTATTAACAATCGAATTTCAAATATATTTTTCAATTGTTTCAGGATTGGAAGATCCAAAATCGGCGGCCATTTATGCCAATGTGAACGAAAAAGTAGAAACATGGACCGAAATAACTTATTTTGCACTCGTGAAATTGTCAATCCCTGGTATTATGCTACCGAAATTTATCATAAGTTTCTACTTATACTTTTCAACTACTTTGGGAGAAGATACTTTCAGTTTGCCGTTTCCAATGTGGTAAGTCTGATCTTATTACTAGATTTTCAGATGCTTGATATTTAAGATTCTTTAAGATCACACTAGAAATTTTTTCCTAAAACTTTCCGTAGGTTACCATTTGATTGGAAAACCCCTCATGGATATTTAATCGCTTATGCAATTCAATATGCTGCGGTTTATTATGTATTTCATGCCGCTGTCTGTCATTTGGGTTTTTTAATTGGATCATGTGAAATATTGATGGCATTTGCCATGGATCTCAAGCAAGAGTTCAATACGTTGGTCGAAAAACCGGACGAAAATCAAACGGAACTTAAGAAAAAATTGTCGAAATTCATTCAATTCCATTGCAGTGCAAAACAGTTACGTAGAAATTATAATGAATTTTGTTCATTTTCATAAAAATTTCTAAGACTGATCATTTTCATGCACATTTCAGACTGGTTGAGGAGCTCGCTGATTTATACAAATTTATATTTTCGTTCGGTGTTTTGTGGAGCATTTCGAACATTTGCAGTACACTTTTGCTCGTTGAAATGGAAATGGTTAGGTGTCTCATGAATCATATATATGTATCTTCATTATATAATATATTATAACTCGATTGATTCATCTCAATTTTTCGTACCTTGGATGTAGGTAAACAACGCAGGAAATCTTTTGGGATTGATTCAACCATTGACGTTGATGTTTTGGTCATTCGTCCTCGTGTTGCTCTATTGTGACTTTGGTGAAAGAGTGTGCGGTGAATTTGATGCAGTCCATAACACGATCGAAGAATGCGATTGGTATCTGTTCCCGATTGAGATTCAGAAGATGCTACTCACCATCATGATGGCTGACCAGCCCGTTGTACTCAAAGGATTTGCAAACGTTGTTATAACCCGAGAAACTTCTAAAAAGGTAATACTTTTTGAAGATTGTTTGGAAAAATAAAAAAATCATGCGTTTTTCCATACTAATTCTATTTCAGATCGCTAATGGGGGATACTCGTACTTCAACATCCTACGGCAGTTTGTTAAATGAATTTGCTTGACATCAAATGTCGAATCTACATGTTTTACACTATTTTGCACCGATCTGCTTGATATATTTCCTTATTTCAAATGTACATTTGCACATTCTTGTTATTAAATAAAGAATTTTAAGCATAAACAGAGAATTTATTTTGAATTTCATTCCATTTTTCGTTCAAACCATTTGAAATGATATGCCATAGCACTGAATCGATATTGAAAATTCACTTTATGAGTGTGAAGCAAAAAAGTGGATTTTGTGAAATGAAAAATATCAATAAAATCAATTATTAGCACGCGATCGACACGCAACTGCTAAGATAATCGATTAGTTTATTTCGATCGGGTAATTTGTTCGAATTTGTATCAAAAATGGCACATTGTCAGCTTGACTTCGTGTAGAAAAGAATGCAAAACTGTCCAGTTTAAAAAGTGGCAAAGTGTTAAGAGCGATTTGTTCAACGTCGGTCATTGCACTAATGTATGTGACAGAAACACATAACTTGGATTCTATTATTATGCCCTACCTATGGTTGTGCACCACGAATGCCATAATCTGACACACTGTATGCGCAACGTGGTCAATAATAAAATATGCACCGAAAAATGGTCCAAACCCATAATTGCAGCTCATTTTTCATAATGTGTGTTTGTAGCCACCTCCTGCAGTGCAATCTCAACTGTGCGCGTTCGCCAACAATGAATACAAAAAGAAACCATCAAGCCAAGTATCTTTTTACGCTCATTTACGCTAAAACAAATAAAATAGTAACAAAAATTTGATCGTTCCACACAGAGCGAAGAAAAAAAGGCGAAACCAACGACTAGAAACGCATAAAACCGGACTATTTATTAGCTTGAAATAGATCCCACAACATGTAAATGATATGCTGCACTTTTAAACTCTTGACTCATTCATGCGCACCAAATAAGCGAGCCCAGTAAATGGTATGGCGAACGTGCGCGCGCGCAAGTTCTCACTTGGTGTTCGATCGTTTTGTCGTATCGATTGCAGGCGAAGGCGAAACAGACGTGGTGCATTTCGAATTGAAAAAGAAAAACACAAAATATTAAAATTATCTCGTATTTTTCGTGAACTTTATTAAAGCAAACAAAATCGCATCCCGCCACCACTGCATCGCGTATCACCAAGAGCGAGAGCCATGAACACACGTTGGTTGTCAAAGTATCAATTAGAAAAATGTGAATAAATTTCAAAGTTAAAATTCATTTGGCTCATAAATTGCTGTGTGGCCACAGTAAAGTCCCACTATCTCTCTCTCTCTCTCTCTCTCTCTCTCTCTCTCTTTCTCTCTGTCTCTGTAGGACGGCTGAATGCAGTTTGCTCAGTGTGTGTGTGTGTGTGTGTGTGTGTGGATAGAAATAGAAAAAATCAGGATTTTCGTTTTATTTCAAACATTCATTTCAAATTTTAAACACATATTTACTCCTTTTCTCGAGAAAAAAAACACAGAGATACGAAGAAAAAACTCCAACAACAAGCGAACTCACTTGAGAGAAACGAAGCATGTTTTCACTGTATGAGTATAGATTTACGATTAGTGATCCCGCATTCAAGATATATATATATTGTCGAGTTGAGCCGACTCTGCATGCCATTGCCACATATAGTCAATTTGAAAAGTCGGAGCAACGCTCCATTCATAATTTCTTACCCAGTTAAAATTATTATTTATTTAATTTATTGTCAGAATAATAGAAATTTACTGGTCTCGATTTTTCAAATGCCGGTTTGTGACTGTGAAGTCATATTGCTGTTGTTTTTTCTGCGTTGTCGTAAAGTAAACCGTTCAAAACAAAGAGACCAAGATAGAGAAAAAAAGACGGCGAAAATGGTTATTATTGCGTGCTACAACGCTAGTTAATTTATAGAATAGCGTTACAATAACGAGCATTCTTGAAAGCCATTTCACGAATTGAGTTAAGTCGTTAAACGGGTTAATGTGCATTTTTAAGATGTGTCATTTTTTGGTAGAAGAATTTTTATCGAATTGAGCGAGACGCGTCGTCACAATTGATGACGACTATTGCGTTTGCCGACTCGACAAATAATTTATTAAATCTCGACACTCGACGCAACGCGATTCAAACTGAATGAAAGTCTTTTAAAGGGCATAGAACGACGAAACTATGCAAGTGATGGTTCGTTTAAAAGCAAAATTGTGTTTATAATTTATGATTGAAATTCAATTAAATCTACACGTTTTTTTTCTTCAAATATTTACAGTTAAATGTCGAGAGGAGTTTGAATTACTAAATGCAATTACATGTGAAGTGGTCGAGAGCCGTCACGATTATTATTATTGAACGAGAGACATGAAGACAAAATGCCTTTTGATTTTCTCCATTTTATTGGCCGAAAGATTCATCATTTGGATCGTGCACAATCGAAAGATTGAAGTGGATTTTTTTTAGTCCATATTCGATTTTGAGCGAGAAAATCACTTTATTTAACTTTCTCTTGGGCCGTTGAGAAAACATTTTCAGACTTGCACCTTTCGCTTGTAAAACCATTAGTAAAATTGCATAATCGTCCGATAAAAATCAAGCAAAATATGTAGTTTTTTTCTTCCTCCAACATAAACAACAATGCTATATTCATGCCATGGACCATGCCATTTCATTCTATTTTGAAAATGTAAGTAACATGGATTTCTACTTAGTTCGATCGTGTGTACATGTCGAATGTAGTGTATCGCGTAATTGGAACAACTTTCGATTTCATTAAACTTCGATTAATCGATATAAGCGATGTTATTTAATTAGTGGAATATACGAAGAAAATGTTACTATCAAAGCCTCATGCTGCGGGAGTGCATGTTCTCTGTGCGCACGGCTCTCCGTTGCTGCCACCGTCACTGTTGAAAAAGAAACGTAACATTTACTCAAAGTGAAATCGAATGCGAAATCATCGATCGATTCCCTCGTGTATATTCTCCGTGCACAGATAAAGTTGTTGTAGCATACCGATTGTTGAGTGCGGATTTTTCGTCGCGTTTTGAGTCTTGCGCTCGTGATCCAGAGAACTTGTCGGTAAACTGCGGTTGAAATGAAAAGTTCACCTAGAAATTATGAAGGAAAACGCGATTGCAACGAATGAATATGTATCTAGGTTTGTTTTGAATCGTATCTGATTCTGGTGTTGTATTACCGCAAAGTGTTCCTGAATGAATGAAAACGAGGTAAACGCTCGCCGATTATGTCGTCGATTAAAATTTATAATGTGGCAAATCGAATTCGTAGACGATAACCATGGCACATGGGAGCTCCGAATACAAACCGAGCAGTCTCTCTCTCTCTCCTTCTCTTGCAGATGATATAGAAAATTCGAATCGGTGTGTCGGCTTCACTACTTGTTTCATTTTGTATGCTTTGCATATGAAAAATTAACATTTGTAACACACAGCAATCTTACGGCCAGAAGTTCCGTTTCACTAGAACGTGTGCATGTTTTATGACGCCATAAGGAAGACGTTGCACGCGTGCAAATGTTCTTCTTCCTGCTGCTGCTGACGCAGACGAAAAAACGGTACCACTTCGAACCCTCAATACCCTATATATGCGGTACTCGACATCAAAGCAAGAACTATCAATAATACCGTGAGGTGAAAGATTTCATCGCGCACGTTCGTCATATTTGTTATCGCAGATTATAGTAGACTTTGAAAGTTAGGTCAAGCCTCTGAACCCATTTCATATATCGCATGGATTCGAAGTCAAATCCATTTTGCTAGTAAACACAAAGTCGAACTAAAGCTTCGAAATTCATATCGAATTTATGGATCGTATGATTTTGTACTCAATTTTCCCATATAAAACGGTATAAAGGATTTACTTTCGATAAAATACCGACAAAACAACACAAAACGATCAAAACAATTTTGTTGCTGAAAAGTTACAAACTGTAAGAAATTGAAACGTTATACACACACAATTGGTATTTATCCAATTTGCACAAATTTGCAACAAAACCACACACAGTTCAGAGGAATTTTCAATTTATCTAAACGATATGTAACATTTAGCTGGAGATAAGTATTTTCCGAAGATCAAACATGTATCCAAATCACCTTTGATTTCGAAATTCTTCATTTAACAAATTAATTTCATAGAATGCTTTGATGTAATCTCGCCTAAAGAAAATTACACAGCGTATATATATTTTTGTTAATTCGAGCGTTCGGATGAAATTCATCATTTATGCATAAATCTGTGGATAAAAGTGAGAGAAAAAACCACACACAAACGCTGTGTTCCGGGAAGCGTTAATTCTGAAACTGAAAAGTTGAATTTCCGTTTTTCGTTCGTTGCAAACTTTTTTTCTGGAATATGGATGATTCAGAGATTCGTTGTGCCATGTGATTCATGCCCGTGTGTGATCCAAAACTTTGGCCTTTATTTTGAGAGGCGAATGGTCGAGTATCAGGCACAAGATTTATTCATCAAAGGAGTGACCCGACCGGAGTGGTTCAAGCCAAAGCGATAGAGAAAAGCAGAAAGAGCCGATGTGGTAAGTTCAAAGGAAATTCGAAAATTGAATTTCTCACTCACCCCTTCGACAATTTGCTCGGTGTTCACCTTTTGCAATACAACCGCTGAGGTAGACACCACGAAAATGTCTGCAAAACATTTTAGAAGAAAAAATAGAGAAGCAAAAACCACGGCATTTCAAATCATCAAATTGTAGATGATGAAACTTTTAATTTTATGACACCAATCAAACGCAGCGCTACTGAACACATTCTTATTAATGGCGTTAAATTCGACGGAATTTTCGGCGATAAAATTGTTGGCTGTTAGAAAGTAACTTTTCATGCGATTTTCCGTTCGAATGGAGAATATGTTTCGGCGAATATTTTCTAAGAACGGAATACAGAGTCGAGTAGCGTTTTATTTTTCTTCTGTTGTTTAGCAACATTTTTCATACAATTTAATGTTTTATATCGTCAATTTTATGGTGATTACTTTTGTATTTCTGGCCGTTGTGAA